GGGGGGGCGGGCTTTATAGGGCGGCTTTGTTGATGTCGGTCAACAAACATTATCGATGGTCGGGCAGGCGGACGGCGGGCGGCGGGTTTCCCATTGGTCGGGAGGGCGGGCTTACCCATTTCCGAGGAAGACTGTTTGTGGGTGCAACCAGAAGCGCCGCATGACTCACTGACAGCTTCCCAATCACCAGGTTGCGATAGTCGGGATTGGTGTATAAATACAGGCGGCGGGTGTGCAAAGAACCACAAACTTCCATATATGGTGCGTCGGTGCTCGGGCGCCTAAGCGCACTTACCCTATTTGGATGGATCGTTGATCGCTCATTGGGGTCACCCGACATGCTCTGGACTTTGTTCGCCCGGTGGCGTGTGGCTTCTGTTTGCTTAGCGCTGATGTGACAGTGATGGATTTGCTCTAAGAAGCGCCGAAGAAAAAGAATTTGTTGATTGGTATATGACATGTTGTGTTGAGCTGACGAACTCAAGTAGATGAATTCCCGTCGATAATTGCTTCCGCGAGTATCATGTCGAGGGTATAGAAAAGTGTCTGTTCACCACCAGCGGGTTTTCGCGCCTACGTTGAAAGCTTCGCAAGGGAATTTGTTGGAAGTTGAACTCGTAAAAGGAAATTTTCAACAAACAAGGAGCACATGAACCCCCGAGCACGTCAATCATTTGAAATCGTTGCAGAAAAGATCCGATCGTTCTATAAATGTCGCGATAAGGTGAGAATCGAGTAACTCTTCCAACTCCAATTGTCCGTGGCCGACAAGCCGACAGCGCTGTGGGTCCAGAGATGATTTAATTAATGCTGTTAGCTAGCAGAATACCAGAGGGAGTTCAAATCAGAAGCACTGACTCCTCGAGCTCGCTCCCGTGAGTGGCGGCGACAGATGCACGAAGTAGGAGGAGTGAAGTGAACGCGGAGACTTTACATATGGCTAGTCGTTATCTTATCTTATCAGCTAGACGTTTCGCGGTAATGGAAAGCGAAGTCTTCCCCGTCTCGCAGAACTTTTAGGTGCTCTGAGGCGCCAGAAGCAGACCTCTCGAGAATACGGTTTACATAGCCCCAATGGCGGCGTCACACGCAACCGTGCGATTATCCCAAAGGGACGTGTATAGCACATTCCTCCCCAAGTCCTACGTCATATTTCGCATCAGACCGTTCCTTGCCTCGTTGATACATCAGGAAACCTACTTACGTGGGGTGGCGAAATCGTCAGCGAAACGCGCGCTTCCTGGAAGGTCGCTATTCGTAATCACGACCTCTAATCCGGTGGAGGCCAGAGAGTTGAGCGCGGCTTCAACCTTGGAGGCGTTTCCAGCCTACTCGTAAATAGCGGAATTAGCTCGGGGAATTCTATGTTCTGTTCACGCTGACCTTGACCAAGGTATCTTTGTCGTTCATGTTGTAATACATCCAGCTGGGTAGTTGCGAATGCCAGACTGCGGATTGGCTAAGTACAAGCGCGAGAAGAACGAACAGTGGACTTACCGAGTGTATATTCGCGTATCGTCTTTCCGTATGAGATGGCCCAGTTTACGATAGAGTCGGCTCTCCCTCTCTCACCCCCGGACTCTCTGATATAAGGGGCAGCCTCAGAGAGCAAATACCCAGGAGTTCGGAGAGAATTGCTACGCTCAGGGGCGCCCCCTATTCAAACGTCGCAAAGATCAATGCAACTTCTCAACTTGAGCGAAGCCATTGGTTCCTACTTTCATATCGTTTTCCTCGAAGATGTAGCGTCAGTACGACTGGGCGAGCTCGGACTCCCAAAGAGGAAGGGAAATTACTTACAGAAGTAATGCCTCCTATCTCTGCTTCAATAATTCCCAATGCCTCTGGCGATATGATCGTAAGAATGCGCCTTCCGGTTATACGTGTCATGCTGACTTTGGGTTCGTAGATGGGTCGATTCAACGAGACATGCCCTGTCAAGAGAGTCAGAACGATCGCGTTGCCTGAGGGCGACTATGCACTGACGAAGAATTTCTTGTCGTGGCTAATAAACTTAAATCATCCCTGGAGCTGCGGTGTGCACTGCGAGAGACGCTCTCTAAATAAACGATCAGACTGGAATCACGAATCTTTCATTTAATCGGAAAATACTCACGGTCGATACTCGTTTTCTCGACTCATGTCGATGTTCTTCTTGGCCAGGACGTGGTGTGGAGGAGTGATCAATCAGCGCCAAGGCGACGGTTCGACTCTTTCTTGCCCGATTCCGAGAGTCGTGGAAACCGGAGAGAGGTTTGAGGAGAGAGAATGAGAAGTAGGTGAAGAGATACAAAGAATCCCTCGTAGTAGAACGCCGTCGTTGAATCACTGCAACTGGCACGTCGCAATGTTCATTATTGCTATGGAGATGACAGCTCGACTTACAGCTGGAGGGGATATAACTGGCTTGTGCAGAATTGTCGGAACACCTCCAGAAGGACTTGGGATACATCAGTGACAATAGGCTAGTATTTGGATTGGACTTCGACCGTGTTCGTGGTTGGCTCCTTGAGGTTCTCATCATCAAAGAGGCGTGAGAGATGATCGATGATGAGGAAATCAATTGTATTTTTCCACCGACTTCAAACAGACTTCGTTATTATTGTACTCATTGACAACCTAACGATACATCAGACACTCATCTGCACTTCATCGGTTCTGTGGCGATAGAATATGAAGTCAGAAAGCGACCCCTTTTGGTGGAGCACAAAAACACATGGCGGTTTCTGGTCCTTTGCGATGGGCACAAGTTGGCGATGGACCGTCGAGAGTCTTAGAGACGGAACACAAAGAGGACAAAAGTGATTCGACCGCGATGTGACACATTGGGGCACTACCTCAATCTGCTGGCTGGACAAGCCTTCATAAGCCCAAATGAGACTCGCACCCAGAGCACCGGTGAGTTGTCTAGCGCTGGCACTCCCGCATTCTCAGGAGTCAACCCATGCTTTTCACTACCTCCCTCCTAATTCTCATTCTTTCCCTCCAATCCACAAACGCCCAAACTCGCAATGTCAGCGTCGACTCCTCCAGCTCTTTGATATCTTACTTCCCCGCATCGAGCTGGGAAACGATCTCGGGGAATCTGGATGCTGGAGGGTCCCACAGGATGACCATGGATCAGACTACATGTGCGATTATAAACTACACATGCGAGTCATTTCTTTTTTCCGCCTAGTACCTCTTTTGAAAATCATTTCACAGTCATTTCATTTTATTTTCTGTCGGCGAGGTGGCCCTATCATGTTACAACTCGAATATCCGTGGATGATACTTACTCGGACACGATTGACCTTCAAAGTGGGGCCGCAGAATCTGGAGAAAGGGGCAGTATTCTGGTGTCTAGTGTGGTGGCGTCCTACATTGGGACAGCCGATATGGAGCACAGGATTCGCATTTCCGTTCCCCCTGGAGACAGCTTCGCCGTCGTCGATATGTTCATGTCAGTATGCAGAAGCAAATTTGGGTTCCAAATAACTGAAATTAACTTTAGATTTGAAATCCCTGATACGTCGACGCCTAACGCAATGTCTTCAAGCAGGCACATCATCACAGCATTGGGCACATCAACCGTCGAAGATACAACCCCGGTGCCCTCTCCGACCTCTCCGAATAATCCGGAAGGCTGGAGTTTCCCATCGCGCAATATTCCGATCGCGTTTGGCATCGCCGCAATGGGTCTGGCCCTCGTGGCCATTTTTGTCTTCCTTATATGGAGACTCCGTTGCCGGAAAAGGCAAGACGCAAACACTCCTGGCTTGCCTACATCAGCAATTGGCGGACCGTCGACGCCATCGACGCCTCAGGGACTACCCATTCCATCGTGCCACTTGAATAACACGCCGGAGATCAGGATTGCCAGTGTCCTTCAGTCAGAGTTCGGAAGCCCCACATCTACTGCCCTTCGGACTTACGGCTCCTTTTCAACAACGCTCTATCCCACAATATGGCCATCTACATCAATGCGACCGTATCTAGCAGACATTCTTTTACGAACCTCCTAAAACGCCGATGGTACCGTTTTGGAACATCCCCAACAGTGTCCGAGTTCGTCAAGGACATCCTTGGTGCCTCTTCCTCCAAGCAGCTCGGTGTCGTTTTCCGGAAAGGACGACCTCATATTACACCCTCAGCCCAGAATTGATGCCTTCTCCGAGTTGAGAAATCATCACGAACAGATTGATGAACTACCTCAGTACAGCCCCAGGATGCCCAGTGTGGAGAGCATCCTTCTCCCTCCATTTATGACGATTTCACCGACCGGGACACATTCCCATCCGAGCTGCTGTGAGTGTAGCAGGACTGACGAATCGGAGGTCATGAGAGTAGCCTCACCGACTCGTCGGCCCCTTCCACCCCTCCCCGTATCACCGTAGATGGCATTCTTATATCCACAGAGCTTGTATCATATTACCAAAAAAAAGTTTTCCTTCCACGCCTGGTACCTCGCCTCCTCGTACGGCCCTTTCTTCCTGTAGCGCTGTGCCCACCGAGCAAATGCTACCGCCACCATGACAATGAATGATAGGCCGACGACGACTGCAACGACGATTATGATAGTTCTCTTCGAGCTATCGGATAGCCCTCCAGGCCCGGACTCTTGGGCGCTTGCTCTTGCTGAGATATCGTCGGCTCGGGCACCGAAGCTGGAGACGTCGCGATAAACTGCGATGTGTGATACATTCAGCCTCCCTGTCGTATTCGTGTTCTGGTCAAGATTTGGACTGTTGCATGTGCGATGATGCGTTGAGATCATGGGCTCGCAACTACTTTCCATGGAAAGACTCACAAGCCTGAAAAACCTAAATCTCGAGCCGCAAGAACAGCCGGCATTTGAAATGTGGTCGGTCAAGTAAGGACGAGGGGGCAGAGAAATCAAACAAGATCATAAAGCAAAGGGTTATATCCTCTCCAAAAACGCCAAGACAAATTCTGCGGGACGCTGACAGCTATGATTGATGGATTATGACTGTCCTACGAACGCGCGATAGTGATGTCCTCAAGAGCTGTGTCCCCAGGCTCAAGATGCAATGGCCGTGCGAATGTTTGACCTTGAATGATCGATGCCATGCGCCACTGTCACCGACCAGTGGATCTAAAAATAGGTCATAGGGCTAATAAGTAGACATGAAGACACAGGACTTTGTAAGAGTCCTCCACATACTATTTGATTGTTGAAGAGATGAGATAACGTACTATCCCGAGAAATTCAGGAATAAATGATAGTCCGACCATCTAAAAAACCAATAGCTACTTGCGTATCCTCTGACCGTAGCGTGGAAATAAACAACGACGTGTATGCATAAGCACAACATGGCTATTTAAATCTTATGTCGACTACGCCTAAGACAATACAGGTGATTTAGACTGCGAGTGGTTTACAATCCAAAGATCCTTCAAAAGCCCGTGGGCTTAAATAGAAAGGTTGAAAGTCTAGATGCAGCCGTACCAGAATGCGTCTGCAAGTTGCCCTTCAACGGAAGCTACTCAGAGGACAAGTTGTGACCGCATCCGAAAGTGAGTCTTCGACTACTAAAAAGAGCAGTTGAATGTGCTCACCAAGCGTCTATATTTCCCTCGTTCATGACACTACTCCAACGAGGCAACCATCGCTCCCGTAAGCAAGAGTGACTACACACTGGATGCCCACAGCGGATTGATCGAAACGGCTCTCTTCTTGCGTCGCCGAATGTGCCCAGCATAATACGCCCCTAATCCTAGGAGTAGGAGAGCACAGACCCCGCCAATGACTACGCCTGCAATCGTTCCGGCCTTTAATCCAGGTCTTGACGATTCTGTTGAGACGACTGACTCAGGCCTGGATAATCGTCTAGTGGCGTTGGAAATTCGAGGAGATTAAAATGAGCTCACAGGGCTGGGTCTGGGGGAAATCGTGGCATCTCTGCCTATGCGGGCAGCGAAGGTGGGCCACTCGAGTTTAAGGAGCGGTGTACTTAAGTGCTATCTTCAAGCTCAAGACTTCTATGTGCACACGGGTGTGCTGCGCTTCGTGAGGATTCACGGGGTAGGGAGACAATACAATTATCGTGATGTCGTCGTTAAGCGCGCAAGTTCCTGCGCTGGGTGCTTTGAGCCTCGAACGAGACAGGAGAGGTAAAACGCCGAATGTACCATAACAATTTATCGTAAGCAAAGGTCAGCCAATTAACGTGATTTGCCTATGATCAATAGTCAAAGTTATTCTCGGAATTGGCAAGGTGAGGTTAAGAGCACGAAGACCTCAATCGTCGCAACCGGCGTCGGGCAACGATGGAATCACTTTCAACATACATACACACGGCTTCTGATCACTGAATATCGATAATCTACAGCGTCACCTCGCACTACGTACCAGTGCGCCAATCGTGAACCAGACAGATAAGATAATAATACATTAGTACATATAGGAGATAGTAGGGTATTCCGTGGATTAGCGAGACGTCGACTCGAAGGACCTAGATCTACGGCTTCTTCTCCCCCTCAACTCCCTTTGGTTTCTCACCGCTCAAATCGTCAGGCATGAGAATATAGACAGGCGGTGGACTTGCTGGCGATGCAGTCGGGGCTGATTCTTGGACCGCAGGCAGCTGGCCCTGGAAGAACGCAGACCACCTGGGCGCCGGCTTCCTCGGGAGGTTGTAGCTGTTCGACCGCTTCACATATACCGGCAGCGGACTGAACGGATCTGGGGTGGAGCAGGTGCTGTCGGTCGAGAACGCACGCCCGTGTTTCTTGTCGACGCTTGAAGAGCGACGGAGGGTGGGCATCTGGCGCAGACCTGCGAGCCGCACGGCGTTTTTGTGCCGTAGCCTGCGTCGCCAGAACCAGACGCCAGCGGAGAAGATGACGCAGCAGACGATGATGGTGCATATCACTCCGATTGTGGTGGAGATTATGGCCGTTTGCGAGTGGTTGTCGTGTCGGGGCTCTGAGGAGGCGGCGCTGGGCGCTTGGGTGCTGGCGGCGACGGTAGGAGAGATGGGGGTGGTCAAGACCTCACTAAGCGTTATTCGTTTGAGTGGACGTAGAAATGGTGGAAAACCTGGCAACTCACCTAGACAGAGACCCAACGTCTTGAGGCTTAGGCTCCCTGACTGCCATTAACGGACTCGGCAGAGACCATACAACGGGCAGCCAGAGGAGGACGAGCAGTGGAAGAGAGGCGAAACGAACGATTGACGACATGGAGTGTATCATCTCGTGGCCTGCATATTCAAGGGAGATCAAACGTGGGCGTTGAGGGGACTATATATCCAAGTCCCGTATCCCCGTTTCGTAAGACCCAGGTGGTCTGTTGGGTTTAAGTAAAACAGATCGGCGCTTCTACCGTCTATGGCGTTCTGCCCCCTGCGATCTGCCTGAATAGACAAGACAAGAGGCAGAGATGGGCACGCTTGGAGGCTATTCTGGGCTTCAATAGGCTTCCATCTTTGACATCATCCTAATAAGGCGGCTTTAGAGACCGTCATCAGGTCATGGTGGGTCGAAAAGCTTAGCAAAGGATCATAAAAGATCGAACACCTGTCGTTCCAGCCAAAGAGAATTCCCATATTTATAACGATATCAATCATGCGGACTTGATAGACTGATCGGTTCTCCCTTCCTTGATGATACCGTACACAAGAGACTAAGAATACACCTGGGAGTAACGATAAGGTATCAGATACGGTAGGGATGGGGATTACGGAAACTCACTTGGAACTTCGCCTACCCCGGGCGTCTATACATCGATTTTTCAGATCGTGGTGTTGAGCTGTGCACCATCAGCGAGTCAAGGCGGCACGGGCTGCTATGTGGATCGTAGGTGAAGGCGGGTTCGGTGATGGTTGCATCGTCGTCTCCATTCGCCTTCAGCTCCACCTTGTAAGTCTTCCCAGCCGTGAACAAGGATACAATTTGGAGCTGAGAATTTGCTTTGGCCTGCCGTCGGCGTCGGCATTGGAAACGGATGATGAAGAAAAGGGCGACAACTGCTAAAGGAATGATGACCGCAAGTGCGATGGCGAAGGGATCGAGTTTCGTCGATGTCGCAGTGTTGGCACCAGCAGGACGGGTGCTAACAGAAGAAGAGGCAGTAACGTCATCTGACGTGCTGTAATTCCGTGTCAATGGACTGTCAGGGTTACAGGAATACGGCACTTACGGGGAAGGAGGGGCGTTAGTCGGCGTGGAAAGTGGCGCTACCACTGCGGCAGAACCGCCTGTGGCTACGACTGCAAGCAGAAAACGAGGGCGAAAAAAAGACATGATATTCAGCTTGACCAATAACTTCTTGCACACGACCAACATCTTATAGTCCTCTTCTCCGTACAGCCCGAAACTGAGAGGTATGTGCGGCAATCTTCATGAATCAAGGCTTATCTCTGAACGCCCGAGGTGGGTCACACACGAAGGATCAGGCTAGTGCTTCTATTGTTGGCGGGCGTCCACTCCTTGCATCTGCAACAGCGGAGTGATCAGATAAGGACCTTTTATCCATGGCGAAGGGTCCTCCACGGGTATCCTCGTCGTGTTCAACAATTCCAGTCAAAGGGAGGACTGCGGGAGAATTCAGGGGCTGAAGAGAAAGATGAGAGATTGGATCAACACACGAATGCGATAGGGCTGTTCGGAGCGCCATGAAGAGGTCGTGAAGCGTCAGAAAGACCTGGGTATCCTGAACAAGACTCGTTACAGACGCGCTCCTAAATTTGTTCTCCATTGAAAGCTTAGAGAATCGTGTCTTCTTGAGTGCGACAGCGGCCGGCTCCAACGATGGGGGGGGGGGGGGGGGCACTCTAGAGGTTCGATATATCTGAAGGTGGATCATATCGCAGAGTTGCATGCGAAACCAGCGTGGACGGAACAAGATATGTGCAGCTGAGAGGCCAAGGCAGTGGAGTTGTCGCCTACTCGTCGATGATCAGGAAGAAGAGGAGCGTGAAGCAATCTGGTTCCCGTCTCTCGCTTCCTAGAAGATAACTCGAGGTTGAGATAAGAGTCTACATCCAAAATAGGGCAAATAAATACCTTTGCATTGTTGTCGGAGGAAGTTAGCTTCTCCTTGCGAGTGAAAACATCCGACCTCGACGAAACGGCCAGCTAAAGGTTAACGCGAACGACTAGTGCGAAGCTCTTCACTGAGCTCCACAATCCCGTATTCCGGATTCCAGAAGGTCGAGCGATCTCCGAGATTTTTGACTTTGGCAGTGGTGAAACAATATCGTTCAGCTCATGAGAGGTTCCAGTTAGGATCTAGAATAACCACGTTTGAGAAAGAACTGGCGACAACGGTGAACATGGCTTCAGTAATATCGAGCAGAAAAGAAGCATGATGAAAGCAAAATTCTGGGGATTGTGGTGGTGATTCCGCCGGCTTTGTCCCCAGGACCTGCCCTAAACCCCACCGTAGTCATACCACGTTGCCTGATCATCGACCCACAACGACGAGCAGTGACGAATAGAGCAGCTACGCTGGCATCTTGTCCAGTGTAGAAGAAAGAGGTACCTGCTTTTCGTATGTCCATTGATTTTTAGCCTTGCCGTTCTAATGTACATCTCTATCACAGAAAATTACCTCACCTGGCGTCACGAACAACCTGTTCTTCATCTAGAGATCGCTTCGTTGATTCAGATCGCGTTCCACCATATCTTCGAGTTCTATTTCTCAAGTTCAAAAGATATCCCAACAACCCGGGTCGAAGTCCACTATGTCGGACTCGTTCGCCGACCTCTGGTCTTCCTCTGCCTCGCTTCCACCAAAACCGAAACCCCAGACACTTTCTTCAGTAGCGTCATCGTCGTCCAACGTCTCTAGAAACCCCTCAGCCTCATCCTCGTACCGCCCAAACCCACCGTCCAAGCCAGACGTTTTCGCACTCCTCTCCGCATCCAACACAGGCTCATCAGCGAACTATAGCTCATCCGCAACAAGATACGGTACCGGCACACCTACACCAGTAGTAGTAGCAGCAGCCAGCAACCCCGCCTCTCGACCCATCTCAGCCCTCGGAGGAAGATCCAACACGTCCACGCCGGCTCCTGTGTCAACCAACGCCAGTTCGGATGCATTCAGCGACCTCTTCTCCTCCTCGAAGGGCTCTAATGGGGGCACAGCGGGGATGACACTTGCAGCCCGACTGGCGATGGAGGCTCAGCAACGCTCCGGGAGCCAGAGCCGGAACAGTATCGGGAGTGGGAGCAGTCCGAAGCCTGCGGAGCAGCAGCCGGCGAACGACGCTTGGGCAGGGCTTGACTCGCTGGCGGGAGGTGGAGGATTGGTTGGGCTGGCGGGGTCGGGTGGGAACACGAAGCCGAGCGTGCGGGTGATGATTAACGACCATGATGATTGGGGGCTTGGAGATTTCGGGAAGGCATCAACATCGACGTCGACAATGGCGAAGCCTCCTTCAAGGTCGACTTCTCAGGCAGCAGCGGCTGCTTCGAAGCCTACAGCGAGCAAAGGGAAGACACTCTGGGACCTGGACGAGTTCGCCTCTCCTTCCGCTGCCCCTGCGAGCATATCACGCTCTGGCTCCAGCTTATCACACTCCTCTCATCGCCAGACAGAGCCCACACTCTTCCAGGACGAGCACGTCGACTCGCCGGACGCCGATTTCGACTTTGGCGGGCGGGAAGACCGGGTAGACGAGGAGAGACGCAGAACACGCAAAACGGGCGAAGATCTGCTAGGTTTCGACGACGATGGTTCTCGACACCAGCTCAACGGAAAGATTCTCAGAGGAGAGGAGATGGCCTCGGCTGGGAAAGCGACGACGACTTTGGCACACGTGCTGCGCCACAGCAAACAAGTGGAAGGCAGCGAAGTGGAGAGCACGCAGAGGAGGACGACTTGCTTGGGATGCTGTCCAAGCCTGTGCATGTCGTCAGAGCGCATGTTGGCGCTGATGATGAGCGAGTGAGTGGTCTCCTCTTGCATTCTTTTATTTTCGCTCGTTCGGTACCTTTTCACTGCATTGTTCGTTTTTGACTTTCCCTCCCTCAACTCTCCTTTCCGTTTTTCATTGGAGACATGTCGATCATGCCAGTACGAGCTCCAGAAGGCTTCTTCAGTTGACCGCGGGTGCAAGCGTTTTTTTTCCCTTTCCTTTTTTTCCTTCGTCATCTTTTTTTTCTTTTGACCACTAGAGTTTTCTATCTGGTACGGCAAAGCCTTAGGCTCAGGCACTCTGGGCCTCAATGTCCTGTTATTTGTATTTCTCCCTGCATTGACAGGGCTGCACGGCTGTGCTGCCCCTTGCGCCAGAGTGCTCTCCGTCCTCGTTGGGATCGCTCCAATTACGTTGAAACCTCTTGAACCTCTGGAAATCAGACGCAGGGGGGGACAGCACATCTGCCACAACGTGGTATTCGATGCCAAGGTTGGCATTAAGAAGGTTATTGTGGGGAAATGCGACGTCGTTATGTTGTCTGTTGTCCTTTTAGCTGCTGCTTTTCCTCAGATTATCCTTTTTTCTTCTTTCCCATAGACTCGTTTACTTCACCTCGTGCCCTTTTCCTTTCCTGATCATTGTTGATATGACCGGTAACTAACCTTGATCCTTTTTCTCATTTTGCTCAGGATCGTACCCCGTCTCCAGCTCGACAGCACCTTCAAACGCTAGCACTCGTGCAAAGGCCAATACCGGCCGGGCAGCCTCGCCACCCCCGCATATACTTGGCCAAATCGTCGAAATGGGCTTCTCGGTCGCCCAAGCCCGACAAGCTCTTGCTCAGACGAAGGATGGCCAGGACGTCCAAGCCGCCCTCGATAGTCTGTTAGGCGGTGGCGGAGATTCAGGAGCTGGAAGCAGCCGTGCACCCGAGAGACCACCAGAACGCGACCGCGAGCAGCCACACCCGCCACCTCCAACGCGCACGCGCTCTGCACCCAAAGGAGCGAAAGAGCGCGATCGAGAGAGGCAGGAACGTCTCAGGCGCGAACGGCAAGACAGCAACGACACGGTCGCCGAGATTCAGGACCAAGCGGACAAGATCCTCGCACAAGCTTCGGAAATCGGGCTGAATATGTTCAGCAAGGCGAGTGCGTTTTGGAAGGAGGGCAAGGACAAAGTCGTGAAGGTGTATGAGGAGCGAACGGCGGCGAGCTCGGCTGCAGGGATCGCTGGGAGACCGCCTGCTGTCAGGACGGATGGAAGGCCGAAATGGATGCAGGATGCGGAAGCGCGTAAGAACGACGGCATCAGTGATGAAGAGTATTCACCTCGGCTCTCGAAGCAGCGGAAAGACGATGGCTTCAGGGACGACGACGATGATGCACATGCCCTCCCTGCGCAGGAACGACGCAGGCCCCCGAGACACCCTCAGCCTCAGTCCGAGCTCAACAACATCACGAAGAAGTCGACCTGTTCTCCAATGCACCTGTGCATCAACCTCCTCGGCAGCAACAACAGCGGCCACCACGGCCCAAGCCTCGACAATTTTCATCTTCTGGATCTACATCTTCATCTTCAGCTCCTCGCGCGTTGTCAATACAAACGCGGAACCGAAACCTGCCCTCCGCTTCACCCTCTGCTCTTGCCACAGCACTCAAACACAAGACTACTGGCACGGAGCAGTTCAAATTCGGCCAGTTCGGAACGGCTGTGGAGGCATACTCTTCTGCTATCACTTCCTTACCACCTGGCCATCTCTTACTCGTCCCACTCTATACCAATCGTGCGATCGCAAGGATCAGGACGGGCGAGTATCCTGGTGCTGTAGAAGACGCAGCTGGTGCTTTGGTGATTATCGTCGCTGCTGAATCAGCTGCTGCGACGAACGGTGCTGATCCGAGTGTGATGTTCGACCCGGCTGCTGTCAACTCCAATGTATCCGTCGATGCCAAAGGCTGGTCGCCCGCCATCGAACCTCCCGCCCTCATCTCCGCTGCATCGCAGAAGGCGAATCAAGCAGGCTGGACACATGCTCAGGGTGTTGGTGTCGACCTGAGCGATGGTTACCTCAAGGCACTCAAGAGGAGGGCGGAGGCATGGGAAGGAAGGGAGAAATGGAACGAGGCATTGAAGGATTGGGAAATCCTCTCAGGGGCGTCGTGGATAGGAGAAGGCGTGAGGAAGGAAGCTGCAAGAGGCGCGGCGAGGTGTCGGAGGATGGTCGACGGCGGATCTGCTGGCTCTGGTGCACCGAGCGACTCGAATGGCATCTCAGGATCGAGTTCTCCGCCTGCACCGAAGCCTAAGCCCAAGCCGGTCCTAAGACCGAAGGCACCAGCATCCGAGCAACCATCTGTGGCTCTTGAATCTCTTCGCGCCCTCAACTCGCAAGCGGAGGCAGACGACAACCTTAAGCACCAACTCAAGGATTCTGTCGACACTCGCCTGGCTTCGTGGCGTACGGGCAAAGAGACGAACATACGAGCATTGCTCGCGAGCTTGGATCTGGTACTGTGGGAGGAGGTCATGAGCGGATGTCGAGTCAAAGGCTTGAGCGACCTTGTCAGTGCGGCTCAGGTGAAGAAGGCGTATATGAAGGTGGTGGCGAGGGTGCACCCTGATAAGGTATGTCTATGTCCTTTCATTTTTGACATCTTTCATTAACTCGACCCTGTAGCTCAGTCCGAGCAACTCAACTGTCGAGCAGCGGATGCTCGCAAACGGTGTATTTGGGACGTTGAACGAGGCCTGGGTCGCCTTTCAAAATGGCAAACAATAGATACCGAAGGCGATTGGTTCGTCTCTCTTTGGATGGAACACATTTATATTACGATTTCACTGCAGGTATACACGACATGTACCTAGACGCGGATTTTGGTATTTATTGGGCATTTATATCTTCTTCCATCGCCTCAAATTCGAGCCACCTTCCGTCCCACAACGTCGAGACCATAACTCGACAGAGTTGTCGCTCTCCGGAAGTGCTTGGTCAAGCCTTAGGAGCCTGAATTTCTTTATTTCGTGCAGCACTCGCGGGGGCTGCAACACGAAGATGCTAGGCCCGGCCATCACGATGAAAGCACCTTTCGAGCGACCGCTCAGCGACAGCAGACATGCATGCGGACTTTCGCAAAGCCATTACCATAAATTCCCTTGCTGTTTACGAGCGTATCTTGAAGAGCAAAAGCCTGGCACCCAGCAGGTGGACCTCGTCAGAGTTTACCCCAGCGTCTGTGCGCCACCGCGTTCAGGCACTTAATTCGCTCATTTCTCTTGGTAGGTCGTCCACACTGATTCATTATAGGATTTTTTGCCTCCATGTTCGAGCAAAGAAGGAGACCTCCAGCCACGTAGGGTGTGTCCACGTCGAATTCTTTGGTGCCGTAACCCATCTCGTTATTTCCTAGAATGGCCAATACTTCCCTATACGGCGAACTGTCGGAAGATAATGGGTGTGACCCCCGCCATAATGCATTGAAGGCTGAGATGGCGAATGTGCAGCACGTCGGCACACCGTTTGACTCTCTGTTTCTACAGGGCAAGCTCCCTGCACGCCACTCGATTCGCCCGCAATGCTCACGCATATATAAAGGTTCGTGCTTTGCCTCTGGTTCTCCAGCTCCTCAAAGCTTCTCGGTTAGCTCTTTCCTTCTCGTCAGCAACCGGAATGTCTGACTACGTGTGTTAGATCCCCGCTGCTTTCTCCAGCTGGTTGAGAGTAGACCATCAGCTCGAGCCTCCTGAACTTTGAAGTACGAGCAAAAGAGCCGACCGCCTTCTTGTTCGCCCCGAGCACCCAGTCACCGTTGGTGCTCCTGAGGACGTCTCTACCCTGTTTGACAGTCTTGATACCTGCCGGCTCTTCGATCTTGCTCCTGAAGAGACCAGTAATGGCGTTGGCAACGCCCTACGTCTCACTGGCCTTGATAAATTCTGATAAACGGCGTGTTGGATTTTTGCGGAGTTTATGGTTTCTACAAGCTGAGACAGAATACTCATCTATGAATTTGTCGACAATGAAATCCTTCTTGTGGAGGAGCTGGCGGTCCTGTAAAAGACGTCAATTTCCCCGACTCGACGTGAAGCGGAGTGCGACCAACGAAAAGGCAGCGCCTTGGGGAGTATATCCTGACTTCGTTCCTCGTTATGCTTACTCAGATCCCTTCGGAGGACGCCATTAACAGGGTTGCGAGATTCCTCGCCCAATTTTTTGTCTCTATAGCCTTGCGCCGATTGTGAATCCGTGACAATTACGAACCGATATATGCACAATCTCAGTCCCTGTATTAAATCTTCTTATCTCTCCGGATCCGATTTTTGAGGAACGAGCGATAATTGATAGGTACTGGCGTGTAGAACCTTTATTCTGCACAGTGATTATTATTATTATTTTAAAAAATAGTGTGGATGTCTCCTGTTGGTAGTATTGGTATGCAACGTCGCCATTGAACTTGAAGGCGTGTTCAAGCACTGTTATGGTGGCCGAACTTCTTTATCCGGTAGGCAATGATGGCGCTTTTTTACCTCTTTCCCCCACCACCACCACACCCTCCACTTACGAAGTGCCCAGAATCAATCTAACTCTTATCGTGAGTACGGACATTTGGTTCGCAACTCTCCTCTGATGCTTTCCGTTCAAGATGGCCATGTATACCACCCAGGAGGAGCTAGAGGCCCTTGTCAACGATTATCGTCGCGATCTCGAACGGAAGGAACTGCTTCGTCGACAATCCCTCACCGGCCGTCCATCACTCATACACCAGCTACCACCGGAAGTCCTTTTGGAGGTTTTCTCGATTCTTCTCGACAACGACTCAAGAAACATGGTCTTCCCTTCGCACGTTTGCCGGCTCTGGCGAAGTTTAATCACGGAGTCGTCCTGGCTGTGGACGTCTATAACCCTCAGTGACTATAACGAAGACGGCGAAACCGTTCCGTCCTACCTCAATACTATCATACAACGAGCCAAAACGCGTCGACTCTCGCTTCGGATCAATTCTAATGAACTCCTCAAAGCCGTTCTGAAGGTAGCAGGGAAAGCAGAATGGTGCTCGATATCCTACATATCGGACGAGATCGAAGACTTCATCCCTTTCTTCGATGGCAGCTTCAATGTCGCCCACGTCCGGAGACTGTCTCTCTCAAGCAGTAGGCGGGGCACAGGGATTTTCGAATTGGATCTGCTAGGCGGAGTGGTCGACATGCACCCATTCAAGCAACTGAAGTCGCTAACCCTCGACTTTCCTCAGGAAGTACGCACCAATATTTTTTTGGTTCCGTGGCACCAACTCACGGATCTGGCAATTACGGCCTACATGGACTCTCTTCACGGCCTTTCTGTCCTTCGTCACTGCATCAACCTGAAAAACTGCCAGCTGTGCCTCGATACCAGCGAGGATATCGAGCGCATATACCACGATCGCGTGGAACAGGACCAAATCCGGCTTCCTAGCCTCGAGCAACTCCAGCTCACGGCTATTGAAGTACCCTCCCTGGTTCCGTGGAAGCTCCAATGTCCAACCCTCCATAAAGCTATCTTCAACTACGACGATAATGATTGCGATAACGCAAGCAGCAAACTATTCTCATTTATCAGGAGTTGTGGCACCACACTCCGGAAGTTATACCTTCCTGGGCTTGTAACCGATATCTTCGACGAAATTCAAGGCGATCTGCAGGCCCTAGAGGAACTCACCATATCGGGTCCGTTTGGGCTCTCAGAAAGCCTCGAACACTCGGTTGAAGAAAAAAGTTACATTCTCGGTATTGAAGCTTTTTTCCAGAGTCTGATCGATTGCCCGAAAGATCTTCCCCAGTTGAAGGTTCTACGTCTCCTTGACCAGCGCATAGAAGAAAAGGTCGCTATGGAGAGCCATGTCGTTCGATTCCTGGATTTCCGTCTGTCGTATGAGGATCAAGTGTCCTCTTTGCAGAAGGTCGTTGTCAGATTGAACTGGAAGTCGCGTCAACAGCGGAATGAAAGACGGGGAAAATGTCGGAAATGGGCTGAGCAAGGCATTCAGGTGGATTTCGAGTAGTGACGACGTTCATCGTCTGGACAAGCAGATTATGGCGTACGAGATATCGAGAATTATTGATGAGGATTGACGAGCCTGCCCCCCGTTCTTCAGCGAATATGAAAGCCTTGCAAAGTTATAGGGGCTATGTAAATCTCCTGATCCGGTTGGCTGCGTGACTTTTGGCGTCTTTCTCCGGCTCCGAACACACGCACGCTGCTAGGTATGGATTTACTGCTCTCATCGTGAGTCGCAATGCTCTATTCACGTCATTTCTATTCTGATTCTTGGTGTCGAAGATGGCCCTGTACACGACGCAACAAGAGCTGGAAGCCCTTATCGCCGATTATCGTCGCGATCTCGAGCGAAGGGAATCGCCGCATCGAGGCTCTCTTAAAAGCCGCCCATCTCTCGTACAGCAAGTGCCGCTGGAGGTTCTTTTGGAGGTTTTCTCCGTCCTCCTCGACAACGACTCAAGAAACCTGGTCTCCCTTCGCATGTTTGCCGTCTCTGGGGAAGTTTAATCACTCAATCGTCCTCGCTCTGGACATGTATAGCCCTTGGTGACCACAACGAAGATGAGGAAACTGTTTTCGCCTACCTCCAGACCGTCATCCAACGAGCTGGCTCACGCCGACTTTCACTTTCAATCAATTCCGACAGCAATTTCCTAGTCGCGTACGAGCTCCTCAAAACTGTTCTGAAAGTCGCAGGGAGAGCCGAATGGTGCTCAATGTGCTACGAATCGGACAAGATCGACGGATTTCTTCGACGGCAGTCTCGACGTCGGGCATGTCAGGAACCTGTCCCTTATATGCACCGCGCGAGATGCAGGGATTTTCGAGTTGGACTTGCCAGGCGGAGTGATCGACATGCGGCCCTTTGTGCAACTGCGTTCATTGACCCTCGACTTTCTTCAGGAAGTCCGCACCACAAATATGTGTTGGCTCCATGGAATCAGCTCACGAATCTGAATCTTGGGGCTGACATGGACTCCCTTCGCTATTTGTCCATCCTCCGTCTGCGTCAGGCTGGAAAACTGCACACTCTGCCCCGATACTAGCCATGATGTAGAGCGGATTTACAGCAAGGCGGTGGAACGCGACCAAATCCTTCTTCCTAACCTGAAGCAACTCCAACTAACAGCATACGAGGCTCCCGCACTCATTCCGTGGAACCTCCAATGTCCAGCGCTCCGTGACGCCACCTTCAATTACGACCGCAATTACGACGAAGACGAATGCAGCCAACTGATCTCGTTCATTGGAAGTCGTGGCAGCACGCTGCAGAAGTTGCGAGTTCCTGGACTCGTGACTGACTCCTTCGACGAAATTCAAGACGATTTGAAGGCCTTAGAGGAGCTCACCATCTTCGGTCCATTTGGATGGCCAGACAGCATCGAATACACGGGAGCAAAATGCTACAGTTCCGGTGTTCGCGCCTTTTTCCGGAGTCTCGTCGATCATCCGACAGCTCTTCCTCGGTTGAAGATCCTTCGCATCCTCGACCAACGCCTCGAAGAAAAGGTTATCGTGGAGAGCTATGTCGTTCGATTCATTGATTCCCGTATGGCCGCTAAAGATCAAGTATCACCCCTCCAGCAGGTTGTTGTTGAACTGGACTTGGATTGCAGTCACGAGCAGATGGAAAGACGGAAAAAATGCAGGGAATGGCATGCACAGGGCATTCGAGTGGACTTCATGTAGGGACGAGACTGCACCATTTACGCCATTTACGTCTTCAGATTATCTTCATCTTCAGTGTGCAATGGGTCTGAAGCTAGTGAGATGAGATGTAGAGTCCCCGCCAAGTTCAAATAAATAGGGTGAGGTAACCCGGCATGGTCCATTTCTGAACGCCGGGGCCCGAGACTACTCCAGCGCGACAATAAGCCACACTGCACGTTGTCGGTGACATGCCGGGCGCCGGGGACCTGCTGATCCGACAAGCTCTGACTTGTCTCTGCATCGGACTATCACCTATGGCCCGTAAAGCAACGCGATAAGCTGACTGGGTATAATGAAAGTGAGTTTGGAGGTTGGTGTATCAGGCATTTGCAATGAATCTTACCTCGTATCCCTCAGATGTCATCGCTGTCCAACTTGAAGCGGACGGCAGCCCCTCTCATCCACCGACTTCCACCCGAAATCCTGTTAGAGGTGGTCTCGATCCTGCTTGACAAGAACTCAAGGAACATGATTTTCCCTTCTCATGTCTGTCGTCTCTGGCGCAGGTTAATCATCCAGTCAGCTTTGCTGTGGACTTGCATCGTCCTCGGTGACCGCAACGAGTATGGTGTTAGTTCCTACCTCCTCGCCGTCTTTGAAAGAGCCCGCGAACACCCAATGTCACTTTCGATCACTCCCGATAACGACCAGCGGGATCCATATGGACTCCTCGAAGACGTTATACTTATGTCGCCGATAGAATGCAAATGGAGGTCAATATCCTATACAAGCGACAAGATAGAAGATTTCACTTTCTTCTTCAAAGACGACATCGACGTTTCTCACCTCGAGGTTTTCTCTTTCACTTGCCGCAAGCGTGGCTATGGATCCATCGAGTGGGACCTGCCAGAAGGGGTGGTAGATTTCCGGCCATTTACAAAACTGCGGTCGCTCACCCTCGACTTCACCCAACGCCTAGTGCCCGCTAAGGTGTTCGCTCCGTGGGACCAGTTAACAGACCTCACAATTACTTCCAGAATATATGCCGACCAATATTTGATCATCCTTCGCCAATGCGTCAACCTGGAAAAATGTTGTCTCCGTCCAGCGATTCGCAGCGAAGATGACTCGGATATAGAGTCGGACGAAGACGAAGAAAAGGATAACCAAGAGCCTCTCTTATTTAGAAAACTCAGGCGACTCGAAGTTGCAACTGACGCGCCCCTTACTTTAATCCCTTCTCTTCTTGAGTGTCCCGCACTCGAAGAAGCGATTATACACTATGAAGTGGAGGAGGAGGAAGGCGAGTGCAACGAGCTAATGTCACTTCTTCGACGGTGTGGCAAAACGCTACGCAAGGTTCAACTTCCTGGACTCGCCTGTTACGATTTCAAGTACATCCAACAAGAATTGTCGACGCTGGAAGATCTCACTATTTCCGGTTCAATGGGGTGGCCGAGTTTCGACAAACATAACGAAGATTCTGACCATGAGCGGAACGCCTACAAGGATGGAACAAGGTCGTTTTTAGAGCCACTCATCGCCCACCCTGAATATCTCCCTCAACTCAAGACCCTTCGGATCATCAACCAACGTATCGAGGAAAGGGTTCTGTTGGAACGTTTACTCTCCCGTTTTGTGGAGGCACGTCTGTCGACGAAGAACGGCGGTTCTGAGCTTCAAGAAGTTGTTTTTGGGTTGGACAAGGTGGCTAGCCAGGAACAGAGAGCACGCAGGAAAAAATGGAGTCAGTGGAGGAATAACGGTGTTCGGATGAAATTCAATTAGTAATCAGGAATCAATTACAGCTGTTTCGGAAAACCTTGAGAATCGTGTTCTTTTTTTTTTGGCGAGCGGCCAGGGACCGGCGCCGAGGGCAATAGGCCATCAAGCTTTGATGCCGGTCGTCCCCGACTAATCTAACGAGATAAGATTAGACCTTTCACGGAATTACTTGCACCAGAAAGCGTAATTACATCCTGATTTTGTACCAAAGAGTTACTGAACGTATTCCAGAAACAATCTATATTTTTTCTCGTAATCGAAGGGCAGGAGGCATTTTGAAGAAATCTAAACTCTCTGCCTGATCAGGACCGTCGCGAACAGCCGTGACGGGATCAACGCTTGGTCAGCTCGTGCCGCCTACCCGCAAGCCCAAATGGGCAGACCTGGGCAGACCTGGCAGGGGCCGCGCAAAAAAAGAAAAGGTTGATTCTCAAGGTTTTCCGAAACAGCTGTAATCACAAAGGAATCGTCACGATACAGGCGTTGAGCGGAGATCGGCCGGGCCGGGTCCAGGCGGATTAGTAACCGAACATCGTTTTGTGCATCCTTCTTTCCTCCCACCACCAGCGTGCTGCTTGCTCGGTCTCCTTTGCCTTCGATTTCAGGGTTTTGACTCCATTTTGCGCGCATATATGCAAGTTTTTATACTGCCTACGCTACAATGAGCGGCTGATCACGGTCAAAACCGTTGTAGATGTCGCGCCGACGGCCAGCTCCTACCCCGCGCAGAGTCCAGGTATCGCAGCTGGAGGAGCAACTGAGGCTTCTTGACGCGGAAAAAGATGCATTTATGCACCGTTTTGAAGAACGACGTGCGCTTCTCCTTCGCCAACCTTCTGGAACACTCCGTGCCTCCCGAGATTCTGTCGGAGACTTTCTCGCACCTCATCGACGGCGACTCCAGGAACGTGATTCTACCATCTCATGTATGTTCTCTCTGGAGAGAAACGGCACTTCAAGATACATCTCTCTGGACCTACATCCGTCTTGGCGATAAAAACGAGTACAAACGAATTGCTCTGGCTTTCCTCAAGACCTGCATAGCCCGAGCCCGTGGCCGTCTCCTCTCGATCTCTGTCAAGCCTCATAACCAATATGTGTCGCCCAATGCTTACATATTCGCGATCTATGAATCCCTAATGATCCAAAACGACGGCAAATGGGAATCGTTTTCCCTCACGACCACCAAGATAACGGATTGTGTTCTTTTGTTCGCTTTTCTCGCACGCGAGTCCGCCCCCACAGTCAAGACACTGTCTGCCACATGCCTTGATAGGAAGAACGACTATCCTATCGATGGCCTACTTCCTCAAAAGTTGTTGGGCTTGCAAGCCTTACCGATCCTCCAGCACCTTACGCTGGACTTCTCCCACCAGTTTCGCCAAGCGAAGGCTTCAGTTTTCTGGGATCGGTTAACAAGCCTAAAGGTGACATCCAAGATGCGGTCTGCAAAGTACCTTTCCATCCTTCGCCTCTGCGTCAACCTCGAGTCATGTTCCATTTCTCCAGAGACTCGTGACGACCGCGATGCTCTCAAAGGCTCGTATGAGCCAGTACATTTGGCCAAGCTCAAAAAGCTGGAGATTTTTTCTTACTGGGTCCCCTCCTTGGTCGCTGTGCAGCTTGTTTGCCCTGCGCTTGAAGAAGCGATTATCCAGTTCGAGGTTCGCTACCACGAGGAAGCCGAGTTGGCTTCCTTTTTCAAGAAGTGCGCTGCTACCTTGCAGGTTTTAAAGGTCCCAGGAAGCTTTTGCCGTGTCGAGAAGTGGGCTCGTCCACTCGAGAACTTACAGGAGCTCACTGTGACTGGAGGCTACGATTGGGACGATGTAAACTCCGATCATGGCGCTACTATGCCATTCCGGGAGTTTTGAAAGTTCCAGGAGTTTGAAATTCCAGTCTCGAGCCTCCATTTTTTGCGCTCTTGACTTCTAATTTTTTATGTATGCATCCGAGGCAATTTCTAATGGCTCTTCGAAATTTCGTAGGATGGCGTTCCCTCTGAGGGCCACCAGATTTAAAACAGTGGTTTTGATGTCATCAAAATGACCCATGTATGCGAATGTCAGCCCAGATCCTGCCCGATCCCAATGGCCAACGCTTCTGAAATTCTGTCAACACATTTAAGGCGTACACTGAATGTCTTTCATAAAATTCTGGGAAGAATGAAGGGCGCGCCGTGGAGGAATGTGCAGAATACATGATCCCACCTCCGGGAGTGTGACAATTTTGGCAGGAGGATCGGTTGTCAACGCCGTCGATTTGGCTGTTGATGGGCGTGATGGATGTGTGACATACTTTTCAAACTCCCAGAATCCTGGACACCCCACCGTTGTGAGCCCTCCGGTGCACTTTCCTCTCTGCTTAAAAATTAAATAAAAATATATTCACGGAGCGAAGACGATTTATGACAATTGTGCCAGATTTGAGGTTGCATAAGCAAGTCGTTGTTGAGCAACATGTTTGTCATTCAAAAAGTTTCAAACTCCCGGGACGGCATAGTACCAGTTTCTTCACGCCTCTCATTGTCACACGCAGCCGGACCTTGCTCCCCCGCCTAAAAGTTATTCGGACCGTGGAACAGGACAAGTGGTCTAAGCATGCGGTAAACGCCGTCCTCTTTGAAGTCGCCAAATCTCGGATGCAGGGCAAGCGGAACGTGGCGAAGTTGCAGTGCATCGTCTTCAAAATGGCGTATCGAGTGGAAGGGAAAATGGATGAGTATCGCAGGCAGTATCAGAAATGGGAGACAGATGGCCTCAAAGTAGACCTTAAAGATTGAAACGCAGGTATGACTATTATTATTTGATACGCTGTCAGCTCAAATCCTCGCTCCGCTTCGACAGACTCTGGAATTTGCTGTATATGTACAAAGGACAAGCACAGATAGCGAACTTGATACGACAAATACTGATCGACAAACAAAATGCACACGGAGACAATGCAATATGCTAGCCTAAATAATAGCCCTTTCAATATTGAATGCATAGGAAACTGTCTTACCGTCCGCCGGAGATTGCAACAACACCTTCAAGTTCCTCTTTCATTATCTTGTCGTAAAGTTCCGCGAACTCGTCCATCAAGTTCCTCCAGTTTGTCGACGAATACCTCCCAAAATTCCTCAACCTGCGCAGCCCCGGGAACAGCCCCTCGGCTGAGTGGATCGACTCCGCCACGAGCTCGAATGCCTCCTGCCGAGCCACCACGCATCTCACCCCATTGAACGACCTAAACACGCGTCGCATAGCAGGCTGTATGGCGTGAATGTCACTCCCCATTTCGACGTCCAGGCAGAGGATACCGGTTCGCCGAAAATCACCCTGAGCAATCATGTTCAAAAAGGTGTTTGTGGTCGACAAACCGGCGTATCTGGCTCCGTAATGTAGGCGAAATTTAAAGCTCTTATTCTCTGAACCTCTGTCGGCGAAGTGGATGTGATGTTTGGTGAATTCGAGGGAGGCGGTTTGCCCGAAAGGAATGCGCTGGATATATTGTCCGAGGACTCTAGCAAAGGCTTCGAGGTCGAGGTCTATTGCTCGCGTCCCCTCTGGTGTAGCGTAAGCAGAAACAAGCAGATGGCACCTGATCTGGGGGACAATTGCTCGGAGGAGCACGAGGCAGAACCTAGCATGCTCGTCAAGCTTGATGCAGTGAAGGTGTGGGAGGGCGATGCTTCGGCGTGCAGCATATTCGGCGTCTTCTGCGCCTCCTTCGAGGAACATCTTCGTCTTCTCAATTTTCATTGTTCGCGTTTGATCGATGGGACACGTAGTTGTCGGATCCATGGTGCGTGGATGTTGAAGAGCCCCCCGTACCCGAATGGTGTAAGGTCTGGGTGAAATCTGGCATTGGACCGTGAAGGCTGACCGAAAATCTCTCCAAGGCCTCTGCAGGCTGCGACACGCAAGCATGCAAGACGGCCTCTACACGCCCCCTCGTCCGCGAGAATTCGATCAAACTGAAGATCAAGCGTGCGGACCTGTTCCCATTTGTTCACCACCAACCCTAGGAGAAATTCGACCACGAAGCGGTCCTGTAGCCTCTGCTTAGCCCTGATGTCCAAAGGTGCGTTCTGCGCCCGGCGAATGACCTCGTCCGTCCATTTCCGATTCCCCACAGCACTGGCGATTGAATGATGAGCTGACGCCATTCGGCACAGACTTGAGAAGATCGGCGTGAGACGGTGAGAGGGTGATTCAAGAACCTCGGGGGCTTGAACCTCCCCCTGGCTGGAGCGCCGTTATGACGGTGGGCTCTGGGTCTTCGTCCTGTTCCCAGATATTGGATCGATCTTCTCCTCGACGATCCTCCGCGGCGAAGTAGGTGTCCAGATCAGCATTCAAGGAAAATATGAAGCTGAGGATGTCGGATGGGAGGACCAATATATGCCAGGGCGAGTCAGAAGTGGCCATTTCTTGACGTTCAGATGGTGGTATTGAAAGAACCTGCGTTCGTCTAAATGTGTACCGGTACGCGTTTAGACGAACAAAGAGGATGAGGGGATCTGATAAGATATATAGCCTCCGCTTTATCAGTTTCAATAACCTCCCTTTTGAACCATTTCTCAGCTCAAAATGCAGTTGACTCGATATTGGGGCCTTGATTTTACTTATAGCTACAAAGTTTGAGCACACTTATACTTAGGGGCTGAATGTCCCGATATGGTGACCGCTTATTTGTTCGGATGCTGCCGATTGGCGGTTGGGTTGCGACCCCTTGTTTCTTCGAACCTACGCCTTCACTCGCTAACGCATCTTCCAACTCTGAGTGTAAGTGGCGTCATTTTGAATCGTATTCTCTCATGACATTATCCAAGATGACCTTATATCACGCTGGAGAAGAGCTCACTCAACTCAACGATAATCATGGCGAAAGGATGAAACCCCTTCGAAACTCCGGCCAAGATAAGGGCCGTCCATCTCTCGTGGAAAATGTACCACCCGAAGTTCTCCTGGAGCTGTTCTCTATCCTCCTCGATGACGACTCAAGAAATATGATCTTCCCGTCACATGTGTGTCGCCTCTGGCGTGATTTAATTACGCAATCGTCCGCACTGTGGTCCTGCATAACCCTCGGCGACGCCGACGAGAGCGAAGAAAATGTGTTCGCCTTTCTCAAGACTTGCCTTCAACGAGCTGGCGCACACCCCCTTTCGCTTTCGATCCATCCCGATAATGATATGATGAAGCCGAGCGCCCTGCTCAAAGCCGTTCTTCAAGCAGCGGGAAAATCCGAATGGAGCTCGATAAGCTACGACTCGCACAATATCAACGACTTTGTCCATTTCTTCGATGGCAGCTTCGACCTCAGACAAGTCACTCGTCTGTCTTTGGCATGCAATGCGTCGGGCCAGGGGATTCTCGACTTGAATTTACCAGGCGGAGTAGTTGATATGCGGCCTTTCACCCACCTTCGGTCGTTGAACCTCGAGTTTCTGGAGAGATTTGATATCACCAGAGTGCTAGTCCCGTGGGACCAGCTAACACACCTAAACCTTACGGTTTTCATCGACTCCCGCCTCTGCGTTTCCATCCTCCGCCGTTGCATCAACCTAGAATCCTGCGAGCTGTACCCAACCACCCATGAAGATCTACACATCCTTCACGACGTGGGTTACGAACGCAAATTGGTCCGGCTTCCTCAACTGAAACACCTCCATCTTACGTGCTACGATGTTCCCTCATTACTGCCAGATAACCTCCGGTGTCCGGTCCTCGAGGAGGCAAGTTTCGATTACGTCACCAAGGGTGTTGATGGCCACTGCGATTTTTTGGAGTCCTTCATTATAAAATGCCGCAACACGTTGCTGAAGCTGGGGCTTCCTGGACTCATGACCGACGATTTCAGCAAAATTCAAGGCCGCTTGACGGTTCTGGAAGAACTCACGATCACTGGCCCGTTCGGTTCGCCACCCTCCATTCTGGGCTACGATGTTACAACGCCTGGACCCAACTCGAGATACGATAGAGGCGTGCGCACCTTTTTCAAGAACCTCAGAGAACGTCCCGAAAGTCTTCCGAAGCTGACGACCCTTTGCATGCTTGAACAGCGCCCAGAAGAGAGGCTTTCCGTGGAGCGCGAGGTTGCCAAGTTCATCAAATGCCGTCTGTTCGAATTCAAGGATGCACCGCTTAAGGTCATTTTCAGATTGAAAGAGGGTGATAAGGAAGAGCAGAACCAAAGACAGGAAAATTTTAGGGAATGGCAGGCTCTTGGCATTACAATAGATTTCGACTTGTGAATATGGTCTCGTCCTTATTTTTGCAGCATCGTAGAGTTGTAGTCCGGGATCCGGACAGGACGTTCTCGCTAGGCCTCAACGTTTCCTTGCTTTTTCCTCTCTTTCTACCACCATCATGCACGAAGGTGCTCAAGACCCGTCATGAACAGGCGTTCAAGATTATATGTTCTCTGTATGAAGGCCTTAGTGACAACAGGGCTGTTCTCCGTCGGCTCTGTGACGGAAGGTCGGCTGCATGAGCAATTTCAACTGTTTTACGCAAACAAGCCGAAGTCAATGTTGTCACCTCGAAAAGCGACTCAGCGATCCTATCCGTACAAACCAAACCTAGGCCTCAACGCCGACTCGACGGACTCGATCTGTCGTACGTTGCGGGAGTTGTAGATGAGTACATGCATCAGTGCCCCACAACCGTTCGAGGGAAGAACAGGTCGGGCGTATATGGGCAGCGCAGTTTCAGTGAGCCGTGTTGACGTGCTGCGGGAATCGAGACTTGGTTGACCAGCATAGCCTGAGAGGGTAACACATCGTGTATATCATTAGTGAGAACCAATATCCAGAACTGTTGTAGTCGTAGACATGTACATGCGGGTATGAAGAGCGAGAATGCAGATTTTGAACGGAACTCTAAAGAGGGAAATGATGGCCGCCGTCAGTGAGCACGAAGCATGAAATTTAAATGCAGATATGTACTGACCGTACAATGAAAGAGAAATGAAAGGACACGCAGCATGGTCAACCCAGAGCAGCCTTCAATCCTGACTTCTGATCACGATACCACGCCGTCGGTACGCCATCCGTCCTATACCCCGGAGGCTCCATCGACGAGGACGCCTCAGCGTTAGGATTAGCATACGCAGGCCTGCCACCGTCCGATCCGTCCGTCATCCTCGCCTTCTCACCGCTCCATTGGCCTTCAGACCGCTTCTGGTCGCCCACGCCATAGCCATACTGCGCCTGCTGAGGGTGCGAAGGGCCGTAAAATGAGTCCGTAACGTTGGGGTGTGGCTGATGCTGGCGCTTCTCAGAAGGCGAGTTTGAGCTCGGAGATGAAGATGCGTAGCTTAGAGCCGGGGGTGAGTAGGCAGAGTTATTAGGCGGATTTTGGGCTGCATTGGGATAGGTTTGGGTCGGGTATTGGGGGTTCTGGCCTCCATAGGACTGGCCCTGAGGCTGAGTAGGGTATCGCTGGCTTTGGCTGGGGTATGGTTGGGATTGTGCGGTATATGACTGGCTCGGGGCATAGCCAGGGTATGGCTGGTAGTTCGTTGGTGGACTAGAAGGATCTCCAGACCCAAGTTGCGTCGTCGAGGATTGATCTGCGGAGAACGTTGACATTCTTGCTCCTTGGTTCCAGTAGCCGCGGCCGGAGTCCTGTGCGGGAGGCGCTGTGCGCTGGACGCTCATGGCAACCTGCGGGGCTGAAGGACGGGGCTGGAAGGCACCTGGTGGTTGGGTTGAATATTCGCTGATAGTTGGCTGCCGTTCCGTAGTGGCTAAGCGAGAGGGGGGTGGGAGGTTTCCGTATACTGTTGGGGGAGATTTTCTCTGCAAAGCCGACTGGCGCTTGTTCCAGGTATTCCCGCCGTCCATGTTTAGTGACACGGGTCGCGGAATCGCCGGGTCGGCTTTAGGTCGGAAAACATCGTTACACAAAGATGAACATCATGAAAAGAAAGTGAAGAGACGCACGTTGAGGCTGCAGGTGGGCTGGAACTGGGTACGCTGTCCTCTCGTACGCTTTGTCCCGCTGCTTGCGGTTGAAGCACCAGCCAATTTTGTAGAGACACACCACTATAAGGGCCACAAACACCCCCATCGTCACGATCGCCGGAATGAAGAACTTGTCGTTCACCACCTCGCTGGCCGTCGCTCTGGCCTCTGGCGTGGTCGTGTCATAATTCGTCCCGGATGAGCCCGCCGCCGCCGGTGAAGGGAGGAGTGCCTCGACAGCTACAAGTCGCGCAGCGTGAACCGGAAGAAAGAAACAGGGATTTGCGAGGATCGACAAGGCGAGCTGGTGCTTGGGAGGCAACATGGGGCAAAGCAAGCCTCAAGGCCACCGCTGGGCATTGTGCACCGTTCTTACCCTATTGGTGACTGGACCCTTGAATTACGTTAGGCGAGAGCCTCGAAGATCATCACAAATTCACCTCCTGATCACCGCATTTGGTCTGTCTCTCCCGTAGCGCTCTTAGTTTGAGGAGAAAGGTATGAGGATCATAAAAAAAGTGGGGGAGACGCCATAAAGCATTTGGGGAATCATGGTTGTCAAGGTCAAGGTTCGAATTCAAAAAGCGGGCAAATAGACCGCACGACGGCACCTCACCATGGAAGACAAAAAATCACCTCATATGTAAGCTACAGTCAACCTAGAAAAAGATCAGCCTCTAAAGAGGAAAAGTAGGTTACATATATTTTATGGTCGAGCTAAAGGCGGTGCAGGGTACTGGTATGGCTAAACGTTGAGTTCAGAAGAGATCCCAGGCAGATATCTCTCTGCTCTCTGAAGTAAAAGCGTCCAACCACAGAGACTTCGAATCCTATCAGAAGAGTGGCAAGACATCATCGTTGTGGAGGACCATGGTCGTCAAAACAAACGTGGTACGACGAAAGAAAATCTAAGTATTCAAGAACCTCGTGAATAGACGTCGTTTCCGAAGTCCAAACCATATTCATCTCAACCCACACAAGAAGCGTACGTGTTGAAGGTTTTTTTCACATGAAATACCATCAGAAGAATCGCATCGGGATAGCATGGTCGCACTCGAAGGTCTGGATTATCAATTCATATCTTTTCCTGTTGCGACTAAAACATAAGCTGGAAGCGCCGGACCGCAGACAAGACAAGGCGACTTCTCACATACCCGTCCTCATGCACACTTGCATAGCATGGGTGATCCTTCAGGCTACGAGGTGGTAACAAGCCTACAGGGGTGTGTCGACCACGTTCATTGAAAAACCTGTTGATATCAAGCCCTGTCTAGCGTTTCCAAGCTACAGTCGCTTCGACTAGGTGTGAACCCACTCAACAATCTTTGGAAGTCTGAAGACGGTCTGATTTTTGGGACAGCAGATGGGCGCCGAGGTGGTAGCATTGGTACCGTTGTGATTGCTATTGAGCGTACAGCCTTTTGAACGTTCTTGACTACTAAAGAACTTGAAGAACGTTGCTGCGTCCAGCTGCAAGGAGACTGCGACGAAGAAGCGTGTCGACGGCGTTCATTTAAAGGGTGTATTCTGATAACAAGTGTTAATAGGACACGCGACGAAAATAATAGCGACGTACCTTAGGCGATCGACACGCGGATCGATGCTTGACGCGTTAAAGTAATTTGAAGCGGCGGGAGAGGATAAGCCGGAATGAGGTATGAAAGCAATTGAATATGGATAGCAAGGGACAGCGGGGTATCAGAGCGGAAGACATGGAAACATAAGAGGCGGTTATAGAGTCTAGTTGCGAAAAGAACGACGAAGAAGGGCATAGGGTATGCTCTAGATATCATGACGGTGAAATGGGCTATGATACAATTGCGGATACGTACATGAAAGAGATATTAAAAGGTAGGCATGAACTGATGAATATGATTCATGAAGACGATAGTGGCAGGGGGTAGCGCAGTCGACGGCGAATCTGGAGTAAACCAGACAAAGGGGAGATTAAAGTTCTCTATAAAAACGAGAAGATAAGGAAAAGAGGCCAAAGTCGAGGTCGGGGTTGCCCAGGTGGAAAGCCCAGAGGAGGATGGGCTATAACCGACAAAAACGAGGCGTTAATCGCCCCAACTCATGATAATCGCGCCAGCATCCGGTAACTTGAAGTCAGTCGGAATAGTCTGTATCGATAACAGTCTCAACGTATTGAATAGATATCAAGACAGTAAGATGACGCACCACACGCGGCTTCGGCGTTGACGGGTTCTCCTCAGTGGGCGATGCAGCACCTTCAGCACCCGAACTGCCCTCCGTTGCCTCCGTCGCCACTGGGGGATGCGGCCCAGGTAGTCCTGACGGTGCAGACCCCCGTTCTCGTGCGCGCCCTCTCGCCCGTGTATCTGTGTATCCAACCAGACGAACGTTCAATATTGGCGTGGGCTTGGGTTGTTCGATGATGATCGAGGGTGCGCGTGAGCGTGGAGAGGGGCCAGCCTCGTCGTCGCCCGCCACCGATGACGATCTGGTGGTGGGCTCGTGGTACCCATAGTTCGAGGTGCCGAAGGGCCCTCTCCGTCGATACCGCGCTGAATCACGATTTGCGTAGAAGTCGGATATTGTGCTGGGCGCGTAGGGGTCGTCCTCCTGTGGCTCGACTGAACCAGACGCTGACCGTGAGTGCTGCGGCTGTTCTGGGATAACCTGATTGTGCAGATTGAAGGGGATCTGAGACGCGACATTCACCATTTTCCTGCATCGTCAAGGCTATCAGTACGGCGCTCACAATGAATCTGAGCGAAAACGCACCCCTCTTTCGCGCGTACGATGTGACCCAATCGCTCCTCGATCTTCTTCCGGTCAATCAATACCACACTTGAACTTCGGAAAAAAAGGTCAGAGTTGACATCATCTTCGAAACATGAGAGACTCCGGAAAACATACTAAACGAGTGCAGGGGGATCATTGGATTCTGGGATAAGGTGGGACCTCTCGTCATACAGAGGACTTTCCTCCCCTTTCCCACCAGAACAACAACAGAAGATGTTCCGCAAAGCCGCGAAAGGCATTATTAGGAAATGAAGGGGACTTGAAGGGCGCGGAACCGGAGAAACGTCAGTTGAGTGACAGGTTTGGGTTGCGCTTTGGCCTCGTTTGCGATGGTATGGCGCCGCCCTTCGAACAAACAATGATGATACTGTTCAACAAGAACAGACAAGAACCCTGACGTCGAAGAACTGCGCTTCGAGGCCAGAGATTCAGAATGCTGCGGGACAAGCTACGGCGCCAGCACACTGCGTACAGTGTATTCGTCTAAATGTGGGGGACTTGCGCAAAGTCTATGGGTTGCCTGACTCGAGTCATCAGTCACCTCGTAGCCCCGGATTGTCACCAACTTTCGCTGCGAGCGCAGCCCGGAATCTGGAGAACTCAAATCGACCGACTGGCATATCTCCTTGGCCATACTTCTTCTTCCTCTAGGGTCTATCTTTCTTTCATCATGGACTTTGAACGACACAATGCAACGAACTCTGGCTCGGGAGAACAATTCCTTCAGTCGCTTTGGC